CGCTCATACACGACGTGAGGGCCGAGGCCTCAATTCTCACATCTACTGAACGACGCCAGACCCTGTGTGGGCGGGCAAGGTCCTTCCGGGACTCGCGGAGCGTCTGGGATGAAAGAGCTCGGAGACATGGTCGGGGGGGAGGGGTGGACAGGCCGAGGACAGGCTGAGCCATCAGAGCGCTGACAGCTCCCCAACAGAGAGGACAGGGAGGATGATGGGAGAAAGCGAGGAGGGGGAGCAGAGGCGCCTCAGCGAGATCAAAGGTGCACTCATCAAGGGCTCGTCTCTCTTTTGCTTTGACGGGGGCAAAGATGTGGGGGGGGTGGGGGGGCTTCAATGAAAAGTCAATGACGACTAGGGCTGCAGACTGAGGCTGCAGAGCTGTAACAAACGCAGTCCTCTTACCTGTAGATCTATCGCTGTAAATTCCCCTCAACAAAGTCTCCATATCATTTACTTTCTTTGTAGTCTCCCTGAAAGCTGTATTCATTTATTATGTAACAGGCGTATGAACAGTATACGTACACGTAGCCCTCCACTGAATTCTTTTTTCACATGTCTCCCATGCAGTTACAATAAATATTCGGCATACACTTTAACCACAAAGAACATGGAAGAGAGAAACTAGGTGCTACATCTGTTTGGGCTGTGTAGCATGTGTAGCATGTGTAGCATGTGTAGCATGTGGCCAGAATAAAAAACTAACAATAATATCATCAGAATGTGAAGAGGTTGTTACGGGTTACAGTTTTCTGAAACTTGGAGCATCTTGATCACCATGCAGTACTTTCATATTTCACACTGATCAGCCCAGGTTTGAAAGGTCAGGGAGGTGGTACATAATTTGCCACATGCAATATGTCAGACTCCACTGATCTCGTCCTGAGGAAAGGACTTGACGCACATCTGCAGCCGGCCCCTCAACATCGCACTGATTGGCCGCCAGGACAATTAGAGCTCAAATCAAGGTGTCGGGCTGGAATGAATCAGGAGACGGGGAAACACACGCGACGCGGCACAATGCCGGGCGGCACACTTCCTTCCGCGCAGACGACTGCCTGGAGAGCGTCTCACTCATTAAATGTGATGATTGTGAGCGGAGAGGTTACAGAGGCGATCCGAGGAGACGTGACCCATTTCTCCCTCCTGAGTGCAGCTGCTCTCTCAGCAGCGAACAGGAAGAGGACGTGCTGTAGTTTGATGCCACGGCATTTTCTACAACGCAAAGACGACTGGACACGAGGCGTAAACGTAAAGTGGAGGCTTTACTTTGAGTAAGAATGGACACGCTCGGTTAAAAGTTTCTAAAACCCGGTATTTTAGCCTTTTAACTTAATTTCAAGTAGTATAATTCCTTAGAGATTCTCTGTAAAATGATCTTTCATTCCTCAGCACTAACAGCTGGGCTTTTCTCTGTCCCATGAAGACTCCAGAGAGGCCTACATCTTTTGTGTTTAAGGAGTTAATTGACTCAGATTGTCTCAGAATCCTAATGGGACTCTTAATTAGGGCTTTAATAACGCCGTGAGCATTGAAAAGGTCGGCCACTTAAGCCTATGGTTACGTTAAAAAACACAAGTGTACCGTGCTTTGTCTGCTCCAGGTGCATAATTAGAGTAATCAGGCCACTTCCAATTAGATCTGGGTCATTTCCGCTCAAATAGTCTCTAATTTTGTCATGCACCATTCATAGCGCGATGCTCTTAGAGTACCACACGTGGCCTCTCGGCGCCATGAAGGCATTTTTAGAAATCAGGGGTTTCCTTTGTTGCCTGTTGATTGCCTCGATAAATATGGAACAGACCTGAAACCCAAATCAATTTAAGAGTGAGTTGACAGTAATGCAACAAATATTTCAACCTTTTATCTAAAAAAAGCTGCAATGTTCTCGTCCTAAAGGATTGGTCTTAGTGTGAAGCTGGCAGTCGTTCATATGAAGCAGCAGAGTGCTGCCTTGGTTTGACAAAGCCCCGTGTGATCTGCATCTGTGGTAGAAATTGCAGTGAGCAGCGGAGGGAAATGTGACCTTGTATTTCATACGCGATGGCACGGCGAACAGCAGCGTGGGCTGATCTCCGGCTCAGAGTTTCTGTCGAGCGAAACGATTGACAAAAAAAAAAAAAAAATCAAACATCTCCATATCAGCCGTCTGTCATCGGAGACTTTGTCTGCGACGCCACCAGCAGCTGACAGGAAGTCTTAAGGACGCCTTCGAGCTGAAAGTTAATTATCTCGTTCCTCCCGGCGGGTACCTCTGGATGTGACGGTATCTGTTTCAAGCTTTCAGACCACACAAAG